CGCAGAGGTCGATTCCTTGCTTACAGACCAGAACGAGTCAGTTTTGATTGGGACAGTACCATTGGTACAGTCCATTAAATCTGAACTCGATTTAAGTTCACATAAAAATGTAGGATTAATTTAGCTGCAGGTTGTGATATCACTGAAATAAGTGATTCCATAACAAAAATATATACATATACATATCACGGAATATACTACATTGGATCATAGGATTTATTAAAAGGACGGTCGCAGCGAAGAAAATTTTCTTTTCGGCGAAGCCACCAACTAGGCTATACTTGAAAAATGCTCTGGCGAACACTGTCCAACCTGGCTAGTAAAAGGAGATCGAAAACGTGTATATAGTTTAGTGACAGAACATATGGTCAATTCAGAACATTCAGCGCCATTCGAAAAATCCTTCAAAATAATATACAAAATTCGATCAAACCTATCAAAGGGAGTAAAATTAAGATATCTGGGCATTGCCTAGACATTAGCTATCTAAAATCCCAAACCCACACTATGTATCCAAAAGTGATACGTCCGAACCCCTATCCTTCCCATGGGCATCATAAACAGGTAATTCTTTTAGTAATGACCATCCCATTGCCTTTCTTATACGAACTTCCTGTTTATTCATGTTATTTTTAAGTTTTTGTTAATACCTATTCACACTACCATATTTTCATATCCGAAATTCCTGTGTATTTTGTCATTTTATTATTTGTACATATTTAATCCCTGATTGCATGAACAATTATTCGTCACATTATTTATGATCTCACTAGATTTTGCTATCCAAACATCCTGTCTATTTTTGTTACTTCTAGATTTCTAACCCCCAGTTGCATAATATGTTAATCTTCTCAACAACTGGTTTGAGTTCTATCCATACCCACCTTGTTTATTATGGCATTTTAATTCCTAATCGTGATTTTAATAATTTAAGCCTTGGCCGGAAATTATTCTGGAACTTTTCTACCCATTTTTCATAAATACATGGATGAACAGCGTGGCTGATGACTTCGTCGAAAAAAATTTTCTTCTCTGCAACCGTCTTTTTAACAAATACATAGTTGTATATATGTTCAATTCTGTTCCCATATTGAACATTGAAAAAAGTTAAACATCTTGAAATTCTAAAATTAACCACATATGTGAATTTAGCTGAGAAATGGGAAACTTTTGAATTTTGTTTAAGCTTTTAGAAATAGATTGAACTGAACGTATTTTATTATAGTAACTTTTTATCATCATTCTCCGTTGAAAAAAGAGCCCAAACAAAACATTTACCTGTTCAGGGTTATTTGTCGAATTTTTCTGTAGGTGGACAGATGTGTTCTACTACATTTAAGAACTTACTATCCAGTTTTATTGATTCTTGTAATTTATTCATTAGTGAACTTGTCTTTAGGCTGTTTTATTTATGCCTGATTTACAAGAAGTACATGCAGATCTTTGACGTACACATTGTACTGCTGAAATAACCTGAAACTGTGGAACACAGGACTTCAGCAGCATACCTCCATCTCATCTTGCTGTCTGAAGTCCTTTCTAGTTGCTTCTACGAGTGCACATGGACTTACATTTCCTCTTCACACGGTATCTTCCATGTTGCCAGCAGACGCCCATCTCATCGCTTTTCATTCAGGTTTTACTTCATGGCCTCCTCCGTGTGTGACAAATCTATTTTCATTTCCTTCGGTTTACTTGTTGGCAGATAGGTTCTTGACTGGTTCATTGTCAGAGTTCCTTGTTACCTCCTTATGAATTCCTGTAAGCTATCTAACCTTCAGAATCCAGAGAAAGCTATAATGGATGGAGGTCTACAGAAGGGTGGAAATGCTGTTCATGACTTGTGCCTTATTTCTCTGTACAACATGAAAGAACTGACTTGATATCAGTGCTGATTATTTGGATCTTGTTCATCATGCTGAGTACATTAGATTTCCACCACATGAATTTCGGATTAATGAATATATGTCCTACATTTTCGCTTCTCACCGACTTGTACTGCCTTATCTGTGCTGAATAAAGTTGAAACAACATTGCGTAAATCAGCTAAAGGAGCTACTCCCTTAGCCTACTGATAGTCACTGATGTTTGCTGCTGATGGTGGTGGCGATGGTTACGTAGATTCATAACTTCCGTCTTCTCTATGTTCATTTGAAGTCTTGCCTTCACCACTTTTTCTGAAACGTTCTTAGTTTTCGCCTTCAAGTCTTCTGGTCTATTTGACATTAGAAAAAAAATCGTTAGCAAAGTCTAGATATTCCAGAGTTTTCCCACCATTCCAACGTATTTTTATCTTCTCACTCGAAATGTATAGTGTTCAGCATGATCTATTCCAAGACAATTAGGATTATCTTCAGTGACACTAAAATGTATTATCCTACTCCTGTATTAACTTCGAAGGTTTCTTTAAGTTTTCTTTTGTGGATCATTTGACATGTAATGTCATCACACAGCTGTTGAATGGGGTTCATAAAAACTTACCCCAACTCAGTCCATAGTTTCAAACGAGTTTCCAAAATACTTTTCAGTCAGTTCTACTAAAGGACTTCTCAAAGTGAAGGTAGGCAGTTGACTACCATTCTATGCTCTATTTGATGATGATGCGCAGTGATGCAATTTGGTCCAGTTTGTTATAGGCATTTTAAGATATAACAGGGTAAATTAGTAATTTGTCGTCTACTTGTTGGATTCTATGACAAAAATAAGTTTTACCAATGAGAAATCTGCAAGTAAACTATTGCTCTCAAGTATTATTATTGTTTCCTTTAATTCCTAGAGGAGCATTGGACTTTAGCCGCACGTCTCCGTTGCGTTCGGTTCTCTGTCAACTTTTTCACCTTGCTCCACGTCTGCCCACATGCTTTCATCTCCTCTTCACATGACTTTCTCCGTGTCACTCTCTCAATGACAATAAAAACTTGCCACTTCTCATTCGGGTTCCAATCGACAGCATTCAGATAATCTTTTATTTTACACTCAGTACTTAAACATCCATTTCTAGCCTACTACATATTTACTACCTTAAGTAATAACAATAATTAAAGCGAAAATAGAATCCTGTTTGATTTCTTACATTCATTTCAACTATTGGAAGAGTTTTTTCAATAAGTTATTCTATAACTGCAACGGATATTACTCTGTACGCGCGAGATTTTAATAAATCCGCTTGATAATTCAATTTGATCCAATGTCCCTCGGCTAAATGCCGTCTCACAGGATACTTCATTATCACCTTATAGTGGTAATTAGGCTGATAATGTTCATGCATTTTGTACTACAAGTGCCTCAGAAAAATGCAAAGCGAAATATTCTGCATCAATTAGCTTTTAAAACGAAAAGTTATATATGTCCAAACCAAGTTCAATTTTAACGGTTTGAAACAATTTGGGAATTAGATATATGATATTCATTATAATAAAGGTTTTTGTGTTTTCCAATGAATGAAAAACAAAACGATATTGTTTTTACTGACGTTTCCGTCCATATAATTAAATGATGTTGCTATGGGTTCACCAGTCTCCCCAATAGTCGCCAACCTTTTCATGAATAAATTCGAAAATAGCATCTTTTCAAGCATATTCACTCCTAAAATATGGCTAATATATGTGGATGATACTTTTGTAGTACTAAAAAGAGATCAACACGATTTATTCCCGGGGAAAATAAACCGTATATCTCCCAAAATCCAGTTGAATTCGGAAGCAGAAACAGACGTCGGTGAACTACCATTTCTAGACTGCCTAGTTAAGTGGAGAGAAAACGGATATTTTATTATATCCATATTCAAAAAGGAGACCCACTCCAACAACAAGTATTTAGACTTCGGATCATTACACCCCATCTGAGCAAAGGTGTCAATTGTTTCAGGTCTTCTTAGACGAGCACACTCTTTGATAACGGATGAGAAAGGAAAAGAAGAAGAAATATCAAACATTACTGAAACTCTCAAGCAAAACAACTACCCAAGGAACTTCATCAACAAAATCAACATGGACATTAAGTATGGCGGAAAACGCAGTCCGAAAAGATGCACCTCAACAGTCGTCATTCCATCTTCAGCAGACACATCAGACGATATCATAAGAGTACTCAATCAGCTCGACGTCAGAATTTTCTTCAAAACATCAGACACACTACGAAACAACCTTGTCCATATAAAAGACCGAATCCTGAAAGATTCTCTGTCTAATTGTGTCTATAAAAAAATGATTGGAATGTGATGCGACATGCATCGGACAAACATCTCCAGAAATCAAAATCAGAAGAAATGAACACCGTAGGGCATCTGTTCGACCACCCAGAAATCCAACTAAACTAGAAAAACTTGAAAAATCATCAGTCATAGTTCTTCAGAAATCACAAAGAACGTCTAATATCATCAGAAGCACTTCATATCAAGTGCAATCCGAATTGCCTAAATAGGACTGATGGACTAAAACAGAATCTGACTAAGTCACAACACATCCCTCCCCCGTGAAGTAACAAAATCAACATGAATGTGATAAGCAAGTTCACTATGTAAACACACACTATTTTCATAATTTTAGACACTGATAAAATCCAACAATCTACACTTGGTTTTGTTATCTATACAAATTGACCAAGTTGACAACAAAAAACGACCCCAGAGAGACGAACGATGATCAAGTTAGTAAACTTTATTTTGATATCATAACAGACGTACTATTATTTGGTTTAGTGATCTTCATTGTTATTTTGACTTTCAGTATGTCCTTTTAACTTGACCTAAGTAGTCTGTTTTCTCACCCCTTAACTCTTTGCTATATATATGCTGAGATTTAGTAAATTCCGGTTTAATAATACTTTGATAAAGCTATTAGCAGCAGCAATAAATAGCGAAACGTCAGTAGAAACAACAATATTGTTTTGTTTTACATTCATTGGGAAATACAAAAACCTTTATTATTTTAAAACAAAAAGTTAAAATTCATCAATTTGACTGACTGAAGCACAAATAAATATTATGAAATTTCACTTACACTGATTTCATTTAAACTGATAGTTAAACTTTCATGAGCATGTACGAAAAATTCTTGAGTAGAAATTGAGCAATAAACTTTAATGCTAACTGATCCATTAAAGAAAAAATCGGCTGTCTTCTCTTCGTGCAAATGAACTTGAAGTTTTAAGTCATAAAATCGTGGAAGTACAGTGTATGGCAGTCGGACATCTTTCATTTTACGATGTGATAATATATCAAGCTCCTTATGAAGATAATCTTCTGTAATGTTATCTAAAAACAAAAACAATTTGAAAATTTTGATTTAATGTATAATATTATATACACTTTATAATTTAGGTGTTGCAAATACAAGGCAGAAGACCTGTGGGGTAAATGTATAGCTGAATAATTGTTTGGAAAATTTCCTTGTGAACGACCTAATCCACTAACTTTGTAATTATGATGAGTTATCCTCCTCGACTGGATATCATTGTTTTGAAGTTTACGTATCATGTTCTTGTCAGATCCTTATTACTTTTCTTTGTCATTATTTAATCTTCAATTTTAAAGCTCCACTGTATGGTTGTGTGGTGATAATGTGATTTCTTACTATTTGAGTTTGTTTGAGAGAGTCAAGGTTATTCTGTGTGTGCGTTGGTGGCACAGTGGTTAGGACTCTCGCCGACCATGCACATGGTCCGGGGTTCGAGCCCGCACCGACGCACACCTGATATCTATGGTCGGCCTGCGAAATTTGGGCTACCGATATCCATGCTGAAATTCCATACTTGTACCGAAAATACAGCGTGGAATCAAGCTGTAAATTAAAAATAAAAAAAATTCTGAACTTGAACTGTCCCTGGGAATTATTTGGTGTGTGATTCTTGTGGACAGAGCTTTTGTTTTTCACCACCACTATTCCCCTTGTTTCTAAGGTACTTTTTACAGGTGAACTTTGGTTAATTAATTTTGTTGTACAATACTCGTTTTGTAATTGTAAATTTGTCTTGTATGTATAGTTGCTTAAGGACACTATTGAGGTGATTTCGAATTTTCGATGTTTTCATTGTTGATGATAGATCTATCGACGCGTAATTGTCCTTTTTCTATCTTTTGGAGAATTTTGTGACTGTTTGTATCTCATTGAAGTTTTGATCAGCTATGCAGTAGGATGCAGAGGCCGGTTTTCTGCGTCTAGACTACATGGAGTCAGTTTTGGCTGTTGCAAAATATGTCAACGTCTGACCACAGAGTATAAGTCATATGAGTTAGTGAATCATAGGTAGTTTGAGCATATGTCCCTAAATTACACAGTGTTATTAGCAGGATTCTTTCACTATATCATCTAATGTGACTACTGCACAAAATCCTGTTTACTATGGATATTTAGCGCATATTCAAAATATTCAATGTCCCCGATTCCCTAGTACATTAAGTAATCTACAGATTAAATTTATTATTTTAAGATATAAATTCCAGTGTAACATCAAGCGATAAATTCCATGCAAGCAAGGCACGGGTACAGAGACAAAACTGGGGAAAATACTCATCAGGACATTAGAAAGAAAAGAACAAGCAACTGAGACTGATTGACTGTCTGGTTTTAAAATATAACTTTGAACAGGGGTGCAGCAGTTCGAGTCGCAACACTCCCTCCATGTATCACACAAAGCAACAGAAGAGATTAAATAGAGATTCAAAAGAGATAATTAACAGAAGTGTAAGGGAAGAAGAACAGGAATATAGGAAAAACTATAGTTTTATTGGATGTGATAAATCATGAAAAAGTGAATGCGTCTGCATCATCACTGAGAACGATTTTGAGCCATTTCACCGATTTTCTGCAGGCTTCATTGGTTTTTGCCATCCCGAGGACACCAACCAGGAAGTCTACGTCTCCTTAAGTGGCAGGTTCAAACTAAATGCTGTGGATTTCATTTTTCCAACCTACATAAGTAACACATTTCCTAGCCATCTCGATCAATGAAACTTAACACCCTCGTAGATCGATTTCACCTCCTTACCTAGTACTCGATCGATGGCTAACCTCAGTATTGATCACCCTATTATACCAACTCATACGGATACACAACACAGACACCTATGACCAAACATGGCTAGCTTTTTGATGTCTTCCACTTTCAATGGTCATGTATCATTCACAGACAAAAAGGCGGACAGAACAAACTGCTGAGTAGCAAACACGCCCTTTGGTCCAAAGCCAGATATCACAGGACTTTAAAATTAATGTGTGAATTATAGGATTATTAGGCTAATCGAATTCAACAAAAATGTTACGTCATATTGCGTGAAATTTGATAACATAGAATTTAATGTTGCAAAACAGGACTGATTTAGAATGACAAGTGGAACGAGTGAAATAATACCGGGAAGAATTCAAAGTGAGAATAGTAATAATAATAGTAACGATTGACGTAATAAAGAGAGATTATACAAATCGAATAGACAAAATGAAAAAAATTAGTAGAGTCAAAATAGGATTCGGGGTCACCATGCTTAAGCATAGACGGATTAAGACCGTGAAAGTTGGAGGGGGTGAACGAACCTTTTCTCTACAAAGATATCTGGCTTTTCTGTTTCGATAGCTAACGATTTAGCAAAACAGATGAGTCGAGTACGCAGTGATTTCGGTAAATTACTCTTCGCCTCGTAGATAACCTTAAAGGCTGATATTGTAGATATAGGGTGATCATTACCGACCAGATGTTTAATGATCACGCTTCTATTGCTCCACTTACACCTCTTCGTAACCATGCAGGATAATGTCCTTACAACCTCATGGATAGACTAGAGTCGAACGACCGATATACCTAGCTTCACACGAGCAGGTGAATTGGTAAATCCACACAGAGTTGGTCAACTGTGGGATCTTGTCCTTCACGTTTCTGAACAGTAATAGTCAACTGGTAAAGGCTATTCTCAAAGATGCAGCTGGAAATGCTATTTTCAGGGAATGTAAGATCCTTCTGTTAATGATATCGGAAGCTGTCACCTTTGAATTCCAAGCTCATGTTGATCATTTTCTTGGGTACGGATGATAAGTCACATTTCATAGTAATTTACGGAAATCACTGCGTACGTGATTCATTTGCATTGCTGCACCTTTTTTATTTATTTATTTTTTTGATTACAGCTTGATTCCACACTGTATTTTCGGTACAAGTATGGAATTTTCAGCATGGATATCGGTATACAATTGGTGGATGGTGGCTAGCAGAAAAAAAAAAAATGGATATCGGTAGCCCAAATTCCGCAGGCCGACCATAGATATCAGGTGTGCGTCGGCAGGAGATCGAACCTCGTATCATGTGCATGGTCGGCGAGAGTCGTCACCACTGTGCCACCGAAGAAACAGAAAAGCCAAATCTCTGTATACAGAAAAAGTTCGTCCATCTCTTCAAACTTTCATGGTCTTAATCCCTCTATGCTAAAAAAATATGGTAATTCCCAATCATATTTTAGCTCTACTAATTTTTTTCATTTTATCTATTCAATTTGTATACTCTTCCTTTATTACGTCAATCGTTACTATTATTATTATTACTATTCTCGCTTTGAAGTCTCCCGGTATTATTTCACTCGTTCCCCTTGTCATCTTAAATCAATTCTGTTTCGTAATATGTGAAGTGACCTATCTGAAATATTAACATATAATTCTAGATTAGGAAGTTAAGCCAATCAGGTATCACTAAACCTCTACTATAACACTTTGTTAACTCTTCCACCTCACTTGTTGTTCTCTATTACTCTCCCCCCCCCTTAGATTTCTCTGGGCTGCTCAAAAAGAACAGTGTCATATGGGTAAGTGGTGTATCACTAAGTCAGTTTGTAACTATAGTCAAAAGACATCTGAAATTTCAAGTATTCGTTTTTAAGGAATTGTGTTTGATTGGTTGGAGGGTTTCAACATGAGTTGACATCAGTTAGAGAAACAACAACTGGAAAACAAACTGGGAGTAATGGACGGCTGTTTCGTCAGCCTAGTTTGGGACTCTTCGTCAGTACATTGTTGGATCTGGTACCGGTGGCTTAATGGTCTACAAGCTAGATTGCTTTGTAACCCGGTGGTCCTAGGTTCAAACTTCGGTGGTCGGTGAGTACTATGAAGAGTCCCAAACTAGGACGAAACAGCTGTCCAGTACTCCCCGGGTTTTCCGGTAGTTTTGTGACTGATATCATCTCATGATAAAACCCTCCAACCAGACACCTTAGTTCATGCAGAAACAGTCTACATCCATATTGTCTGACTGTCAGTACCATCCGTATCCACAACTCTCCGCTTACATATCGTCTTGTGGAACAAGAAATCACTATGAAAGAATATATGTTTGCACAACTAAGTACTAAAATTCAACGATACCCTATTTGGCGAGCCTTTATGTGACAGCGAAACTGTTGAGAGTAAAAATTATAACTGACTATGTAACTGGTAAAATACATGGCTCTTTGACCTTTGATCTTGATTTGTGGTGATACTATTTCGATTATTTTATAATCTGAGTTATTAATATTATTATCATCTTATATGTTTTGTAAATTTTTTCGACTTTATTGCTCACTGCTAATACCGAAAACGTTGCTATTATCAATTTTATTTACTTATACCATGTAGTCGTGTGAATTAGGTTCAATACTGCACCAAATGTTGAGAATTTTATGTTGTATTATGAGAACTGTTTTGAAATAAAGTGAATCATTATTATTGATATTATTAATAAAAATAGTTAAATGTCAAGAAGTGAATACATCTATGCCAATCAGAACGATCTTAAGACACGTCATTAACAAAATCTAATCACTGATGCTTATTGTCTCAAGGACTTTAGTAAGATGATGTCTGCCTCCCTATCTTCCACAAACCAACAGTCGAAGACTTCATAAACTAGTTTCATGTTTTCATAAATCTCTTCAAATCTAGTTCTATCCCCACCAGGAGAACTGCTCGTCAGCAAAGGCAGTTGCTTGGAATGTATGAAATGTGTCCTGGACATTTAAATCAATAAAGTCTGACAGATTCATTGATTGACTTCTCCTTCTTACCTAACACCACTTAACATCTAACCGCATTATAACCGACGATATTACTCCACATAACATATGAAATTGTATGGCAAGTTGATTTTGTTCGCTGTTTTCTTTTGAAAACTTTGTTGGAATTAGTTCCTGTATAACATTTGCATAAAAGTATTAAAAGATATATTTTATCTGAAAAATGTGACACACTAGGAACACCAGACCAAACATCTACTTGTCAATTCAACTTATCCAAT